AACATACAACACCGCGCTATTCGCACCTGGTCACCCACGGTACTACTCAACGGGCGCTACACGGCTTGTGTATGGTCGATCGGACGAGAGGCCCAGTTCTCCCTCACCCGATATGCTGTATGCAGTGTAAAATGGACAGTGTCCTGGTTGTCGCATCTGGCAATGGCGCTAGACCAAAATTGGTTCTCCGTTACCAGGATGCGGACCTTGCGACCATTATAACTGTCAGCGCCGCCCTTTAGAATAAGCCATCTTTCTCTCACCCTTCTCCTTTTTTCCTATGGGGAACGAACACGACAATTTTAGCTCGTCTGATGGCGACGACGATCTAATAGCGCTTGCACGGGAGATTCATCCTTGCGCGCGTCCCCCTACGGATGAAGAGCTGCAAAATCGGCTGAATCCAGATCACTATAAAAGATATGAACACGTCTCTAAACTGTGGAAGACGTAAGTTGCTCCTGTATAGGCCCCTTAGCACTACTCTAAGAAAGTAAGGTTCTGTGCCAAAATCCTTCAATGGGATGAGGATAAGTGTTTTTCTTCAATCCTAAGTGTACCGCAAATCCAGATATTTCTCAGGTGGATTGCCCGCTATGCAAAAGGGACGATTGACCAGCGTATTACCGATGTTACCCTGATGCACCGATTCAACACTCTGAAGATAGTGATCAGACTTAACACTGGTCATATTTATGGGTAGAGGGATCACAAGGACATTACGAACTTCATCAAACGTGATCTTGTCCACGAGAAACGGATCTCAACTAAAGTTCGTCAAAAGCCAATCGCTCCGTTTGCGGTTGCAGAGGATCTTGTAACCTTCCTATGGAAAGCAGATGAGTATGACTTTCTGCACTCAAGGGCCCGATTGCAGCTTGCTTTCCTCATCGTTATCCTTGCCCTATCTGGATGTCGGCTTGGAGAGATTATAGAATCGAGCACATATGCAGGAAGTAATGAGAGCCTCTACTACAAAGACTTTGAATTAGGTTGGAAGTCAATGAAAGCGTACACTGGATACTTTGTTCTTCTCCAATTGCGCGTCCGAAAAGGGATACGGAATCATGAAAAGCATGCATAAGTTCGCAAAGTCTATCTAAGATGATGTTAGATAACTGTTGTTAGTCCTCAGCTGCTTCTTTATGAAGAGCCTCAGAAGCGATTTTTCTGTCCGGTTGCATATTTTCTTGCACTCGCTCTTGCCGACCAAGCTATTGAAGGGTGTAACACATTCACCTCGCTTGAAGCTACACCGATGCCTCCTGGCACTGACATATGATGGTTTAAGATCAAATCTAGCATGCGTGATGTACCAATTCTTCGTTCCATTGATCAAAGAGGGATAGTTCACCTAACCAATATCTGGAAAAGCACTAGTATCTCTACGATGCTTGTTGGCTTAGGGCAGCGGTCCAGATATAAAGAGAATCTTACTGGATATTGTTTCCGGAGGGGCTTTGGAAATACGATTGATAGTAAGTGCATTGCAGTTTATATTTAAACAAAGGCTTATAAGTTACAGAGGCTGTTACTTCCACACAGAGAGGACAATTAATGGGCCACTATTCTGAAGAGATATTTACATCATACTACATCTCTAGAGTTGTTGATACAAACACGCAATCCTTGGCGCAAGGCCGTATACCTAACCAGGCGTTAGTGGAAGAGGCAACATCAATGCAGGCATGGAGGAATATACTGGCCCCAATGGCCCCACATTCCTTGTTGGCTAAGCATCAACATCAGCATCAAGTGGACATGACGAATACCATATCTTTGTCCCCAAGCAAGACATATGAAATCCAGAGACAGCTGCAGAAAAAAGCTTACCTAAAGGATTGAGATGAGTTTTTTAAGAACAGACGTTCTACACCTGTAGGACGTTCCATAGCCGACTGTCAGGAGACTAGAGAGCATGTGCCATCTCGCTATCTTCAAGCTTATCTCCATCACGACAGAACCCGGAATGAGCTATGCACCTTCCTTTTTACTAAGCAAGACACGAGCTTGTCTCAGGTGATCCCTCTGCTGCGCCGTACAGTGAACCCAGCTACTGGATGTTTATTCTACCCAGGAACAAGCCTAACATCAGATGGTCGGTGTTTCCGTTGCAACATTGAGCTAACTACTAGACGCCACGTTCACTTTTATCTGCTCTCCTGTCGACGGATACAGCTATGGAAACAGAATGCAGATCACATAGAGCGCTACTTTAAGTTGACTCTAAAGCAGTGCAGCTGAAATGATTGCAGTTTCAAGTTCACTAGAAAATCCTGCAATGCGTACTCAAAACACGTCACTAGCTATATTGATACAAATACGCTCTCTCAGTGTCTCTGGAATCATTGTGGCTACATGAGCAGCGACAGGATTGATCTCACGTATCATCTTTCCATCGTTCATAAGGTCCCAAACGAACAAACTTTGCCTACAAAGATCCATTACTGTTATGAACATAGCGAGTACTTCGTGGCAGATGGAATTTGGGCAAAGCACTGCAGGCAACACTTGGAGGTACTGAATGACTACAGTGGCATAATAACTCGCAAAGGATTAATCGTCGTGGCAGGTCACTGTTTATTCTGCTTGGGAGATAGGAATGCTAGCTCAGAGGTGCGTTGGACTTAGTTCAGTGAAGGTTGTATCCTAGTCAAGCATATGGTGGGCCATCTTGAACAGACTTCTGTCCCGTCAACATGCCCACATCCGACATGCGAGGACAAACTGAACACTGTCGATGATTTCTGGAACATGCTTTAATTGTCCATGGCATTCCTGCTAGAGTCGCATCAAAGATGAGGGATTCTGTAATTGAGGGTAAGTAAAAATGTGATAGATAGAATTGCGAGCCTTAAAAGACAGGCGTTGTAGTAATAGTGCACATAAATATACAGTGATACTTCTATACAAAGCACTTGGCACCACAGCACCTACGTGACTCCTATCAGTGAAGCTGCATGGGCCCACAAAGTGTACAGGCCCATGGTGAAGGTGCACAGGCCTACGGTGAAGGTGCACAGGCCCACAGTGAATAGGTCTTGGCAAACTTCAAATATATTTACCTTGCTATTTGCTCTAACTTACACTCTACTTTCTTCTCCACCTTAATCCTAAATGGGCTAGCCACCCATTTGGAAGCCCACTGGAGTGGCTCTCCAGTGTGGACTCTCCTTTGGACCCTTAGACTACTGGACTGGACTGGACCCTGGAGCTTGGACCCTGGACCTCTGGACTCTGGAACTGTATATTACTGGACTAGATCTTTATTTAACTCTATACCTTAAACGCTAATCGGTTCCTTAATTTAAACGCCAATTCAACTTCTTTCCTTTCGACAATTCAACTTAATTCAACTCTTTTTGCCACTTCGACTCTTCCTCTTTCAACAATTCGACTCTTCACCAATTTCGCCAATTCGACTCTTTCGCCAATTCGACTCATTCACCAATTCGACTCTTCCACTTCGATTCTTTCGCCAATTCAACTCTTTCGTCGACTCTTCGAATCACCAATACCAATCGACTCTCCACTTCACCTTTTACCTTTTTCACTTGCCCCTTGGGGGTTAATCCACCCGCGAGTACTTTAATGTTACGCCTTGTAGTGAATACAGCTTCATTGGGGGGCTTTCGGGTTCCTTTTAATTAGGGTTGTATGGCCTGCAAGGTTGCATTTGGATGGGGTTGATGCAGCGGATCCTCTGCTTTAAACTTCACTTCCTGAAGTCCCTTAAGCGATGAGGTGAAGCCTAGACTTTAGTCTAGAGATGAAGCTGTCAGACTCGCTTCGGCTTGAATCTGGGCTTCTGAACGCGTCGGTCCATTGGACTGTCAGCTTTATGCACTAGTCTGAGGGGCCTTTGTGAAGTGCAGCAGCAAAGGGTTTGAAGTGACAGCAGAAGGCCCATTAGCTATCAAACTGAGCGACGAGGTTAAGCTTGTCTTAAGCGTCACTAGCTCTTGATGGAGGCATGTAGCATGATGACATCGGGACATATTTGCCGTGTGATGTGCACGGAGGCCCTACGGGGCGAGTCACATGGTGCAGTGAGGCGTAGCGCACACGAGGATACATAAAGAGCTTGTACTTCCCACACCTTCTGCATTCCTCATTCCCTCTTGTTACAATGTCTCTTCCCCCTTTCGCGCACATGGGCCCTTATAAGTTCGATAACGATTAGGAAGCCCTAGTTGCCTCTATTCCAACTCGGGCGAACCTCTTCGGCATTGACGATAATGACGAGGTCGAATGGGAAACCTTTTGTCAATTCCCCCTGTCACCTAGGGCGCCGTCACAAACTGAAGCTTCTGGCGAGCCTGATAGGGATTTCTCCCCGACTTCGCCAACTGAAGCTTCTGGGGATCGCTCTCCCTCATCTACTGAAGTTGCGACTGAAGCTTCTATGGATCACTCTCCCTCATCCACCGCTGGGGATCACGCTTCTGAGCACTCTCCCTCGCCAACTGGAGCCTCTAGGGATCACTCTCCCTCGCCCACTGAAGTTGCGACTGAAGCTTCTAAGGATTACTCTCCCTCGCCCACCACTAGGGACCACGCTTCTGAGCACTCTCCCTCACCAACTGAAGCCTCTGGGGATTGCTCTCTCTCGCGCACTGCTGCGACTTCTAGGGGTAACTCTCTCTCTCCCACCAAAGCTGGGGATCATGCTTCTGAGCCCTCCCTATCGCCGTCTCCCTCACCTTCTAGGGATCACTCTTCCGAGCCTACTTCCAACTCTCCCTCGCCAACTGAAGCTTCTGGGGGTCCCTCGCCTTCGCCTTCGCCTTCGCCTTCGCTATCGCAAGAGTCCCCAATAGACTTGGCAACGTCACGTGAAAATTCTAGGGAGCAATCGCCCACTGAAGCTTCCAATCAACACTCGCCAGACTCGAGGGAGCATTTGTTAGCAGAAGGGAGCTCACGTGGTTAGTCTGTTCCTATAATCCCTAATCATCCTTCCTAACATTGCAGCGAACCTAATCTCTATTGAAGACGATGATGAGCAAATGCGAATGGAGATTTTTTTTTTTTTTTTTTTAGGTCAAAATATGTGTATTGAGTCTAAGACTATGACACCGCTATACTAACTAACATACATCCTCTCTCGAGGCCCTCATATATGTTAGGCTTAAGCGAGAGCAGTGAAACTGCTTGTTAAGGCAGAAAAAAGGAAGGAAAAAGGGTAGGTAAAGGTGTCAGATTTGATAGTATCTGAAGATGTCACGGTGACAGAAAGATTGATTGAAGATGGGTTGACTGATTGTATTCAGGT